TCAATTAAGGACTCGAGAAAAACGCTCGGGCTCCTTGTCCCTTCCTGCTGCTGTAGGAGGGGCAGGGGACGGGGCTGCTGGAGGCGACAGCGACCCTCGGAAGCCTTGGGCTGAATGACTCGGAAAGACCAAAGCAGCCCTGAGGACTCGGGACGCTTGAGGCAGGTTTCGTCGAACAAGTGTGTGTTTGCTTTAACAAACCTCGCGTGCGCGGTCGTGTAAATACGCGCTTCAGAAGACGGAAGGTTGAGCGTGGAGGATGCTTGCCTTTCTGTCTCGGGGCCGCTTGTGTGTTTTCTTACCCCCCAGGTTTACTGACCTCTGAGGGACGTAGAACATTCGGCCCCTCAACAGGCTTGGGCTGAAGACCTGATGCACCTGTGCGTCATGCAGCCTTAGCCAACGTCCTCAGCTCGCGCGGTCGTCGTTTTTGTGGCTGTGGCTGCGTCACGTTTAAAGTGGTCATTTGACAACTTGAATTCAACGGATTTTTGGGTCATGTCAACAGGATGTCAATGAGGAATTTGGGGACTTGATGTCTGCTATGGTGAGTTCCACTTCTCACAGCGGATTTGTTGTCTCCAAACGGCTGGGGTCCCTCAGAGCCTGGCAGCTGCCTTGGTGGGAGCTGATGATGATTTGCCAGAAAAATCTATCAGAGCCGGAGCAGCACGAGGGGAGGGGCGTGTATTCGTGGCAATGCAAAATGCCCTCTCCCGACCCATGAGAGGCGAGGCCTGGCATTAATGACCTTCTGTGCCACAGAACCTTGTCGAAGCGGGAGCCCAGGACTTATAAGATGGGAAAGGCCAGTCCCACACTGAGGTGTGGGCCCACGCGGGGAGGGAAATCGGGTGGACGGAGGTTGTGTCCATCCGGGGCTCCTCCCAACTCCCTTGCTGGGGGCGCAGTTTCCAGAGGTGGAGCGTCGTGGGAGGCCTGCGGAGCCTGGGGAGGTGACACGCAGCTGGTCACGCTCTCCTGCTTCTCTGCCGGCTCGGCCCAAGGCTTGCCGACACCACAATAGGTTGTGGTCCAAAGCGGGGTTTCAAAAAATAGAAAACAACAACAGAAACCAAAGTGGGGTTTCACTTGGTGAGAAGTCCCCACGTTTCCCTACTGCTGTATTCTATGAGTTTTGCTAGAAAAGGAAAATTAAGTCCTCTACCCCTCTCACGTCTTTGAGAAGGTGGAAACCGAGTGCCAGTGGTGAACCTATGCAGACACGTCAAAGAATCCTCAGGAAGGTTCTAAAATTACCGACGTGATGCACCTTCCTCTCCTTGGGAGACTCCATCTCTCCTTCCTTTCTGGTGCATTAAGTGAAAATCAATGTTCCGAGAACACATTTTCGTTGAAGTTAGTGATTCAGAAATTGAGATATTTTTGGTCATATACAACCAAGCATGGAATAGTGACTGTGTATTTTTTAGTAAAGCTAAAATATTTGAACATAGTCAGCTAAGAAAGGATTACGGACTAAAACATCCACCTAGAAGTGTATTTAACCACAATTTAATAAAGTTTTAGCTTCTTAAACGTATATTTTGGTATATTCCGACCTGTATCACTAAGAATACTTTTTTTTTCCACTAAGAATACTCTGTGCTGGATAATCCTAGTGCTTCGCACACTAGGACACATGTACACTTGCAAAAAAGTAATTGTGTTATCTCTACACATTCTTAGAACCTTGGGAATAAAGACAGAGAAGTAAAAGTCGTTACTTCTGGGGAGGTGGTTGCAGTTTTACGTACCAACTAAATCCTAAATAAACCCCTCAGCTCCTCGCGAGAAGGAACTCTTAGAGAAGTTTGTGTATTTCTCCTCTTTTCTTTTCATGATTTTATTTATTTATCCATGAGGGACACACAGAGGCAGAGACACAGGCAGAGGGAGAAGCGAGCTCCCCGCAGGGAGCCCCATGTAGGACTCGATCCCGGGACCCCGGGGTCACACCCTGAGCCAAAGGCACATGCTCAACTGCTGAGCCCCCTGGCGTCCCTATTTCTCCTCGCTTCTAAGTGCATCCTGAGCTGACTTCATAGACCCAGGCCCTAAGGTCACTGTGAACGTGAGGCAGTGGTGACCTGTCTGAATCCTGGCAGGAAGCCCACGGCAGCAGCATTCTTCATGGGCGCAGTGGCCAGCCCCTCAGGGCTCACAGGCTGAGCGCAAGCACAGGCCCATGCTACACAGTCAAATGATCCATTTCATAAGCAGCTCCAGCCTCTCTCCTCCAGGATTTGGGATCCTCCAGCTGTTATGGATAGGTATCGCATTAGGGTTTTCCCAATGCCTTTAAGGGATTATTGCTTCTTTACTCGTGGTGGTTTTGAGTTTCAAGACAGGATTAAAGGGAGTTATGAGACATCAGGTCTTTAATTTCCATGGGTTCCATTCCACAGGGACTTATAAATTTGTGCTAATGGATAATTCCAAGTATTCAAAAAAGAATTAGGATTTTGGAGTGACTTGTGGTGGTATAATGTGAAAAGCATCGTTCCTCCCGCTAGTGGCAGGCTAGGCCTGGATCTTATTTTTCGTGAGTTGTAAAAGGAAATTTATTTTCAGCAATGCTGGCTTGAGTGTAAGCATTCTAGGTTTGTTCTGGTAAAGCTTGGTTTATTGGGCATAAGTGTTTAGTAGTGCCCAGAGAAGACCCATTTGCATTTCAGGACTTGGGCGTGTTTTCCTTACGTGTATCTTGTAGACAACTCTTCCTACGGCCGTTTGAGCGTTTTTTCTTCAATTTGATTAATGGTGTCTCCATGGTCAAGATAATGACAAGATGCCTAAATTAAGACGGCAGATCACCGCAATGTATCTAAATATCTTATAATTTTATATGTCAACTCTACTTCAGTAATGCTGAAATTAAAAAAAAAAACTGGTACTCCAAATACACTATCGTTTCTTGCTGTTTTGGCTCATATTGGCTTGGAATTTACCCTCTGCTGAATCCTCTTATTCCTCTCTGTGTGCTAGCTCCTAATTTATTCTTAAAGATGCACATTAGACTTCTCAGCTCCTAGGCTGGTTGAAGTGTGTCCCTTCATTGTGTTTCCATAAGACCGAGTATTTCTCTATTGCTTAGTTTACCACACCGGATCATAACATGTCTCTTCATTATGTCTGTGAGCTTATGAGGTATTTGGTTTTGATTTTGGTTTTTCATCTCTACGTAGCATTTGGCATAGAACCCACCATATACCAGGCCCCAAAAGCATATTATGCCTGAATAAATTGATGAGTTCATTCCCTATGTGAAGATACAATAAAAAACATGATATTGGAAATTTGTACTTGAGATTAAAAAAAATGGGGAAAAGCTTACTTTATTTCGCTAGTGCACCGTTGGTAAATGTGTAGAAAATAGAGCAATATTTTCAACATGTTCTTGAATACAGAGAAGGGAGGAATTGTCTCTAAGGAATTTCCTTTTTTATGTGGAAATGAGCGGTGTGCTGAATGTGAAGGAAATTAGGAGGCAGAGTGATTTCTCAGGTTGCTCCTGGATAGTAATTTTGCTCAATTATTGAAGGGCATCGCCTTGATTTTTAGAATTTCTGGGTCATGGGAGTTGTGATCATAAGCTTGAAACACTGATCTGAAAAGATATGGGAAATTTGATTTTGAATTACGTATGCTGGGAACATACATCCTAAATAGAGTAAGAAAATAAAAGACTTACTCATCCAGGAAATGATTTTATGTGCACTTCAAGCAGCCAACACTTGTCTGAAATGTTTGCATCCGTACCATTTTGACACCTGGTCTTTATTCACATGCAAAGAGCTCATTGGCTCAGTCATCATCAATAAGATCACCTGTGCTACAATAATCCTTACTTTTCCCTTTCCCTTTCCCTGAGCCTCAGTCAGTTGGCTCTTTGATATTGATCCTGTATTCGACGAGTGAATAATACAGTGCCTGGGGAATTATCTTTTGTGATTTTAGAGGACATCTACTGCTTTGTCAGCCTAGCGAACCATTCGTCCTTTCCTGGTAATAGCACTCTCATTTTCCTAAGACATCATCTACTCCATATGGTTGGTTGGGGCTGGCCACACAGTTGGTGAACCAGCCTCGGCTCATCAAAACGTCATGTCTCCCTGTTGATAGTGATTGGTTCAAGAATGGGTATGTTAGCCAAGTCTAGCCAATTAATTCATTAGTTTAAAGAGTTGGAAAAGAGATGTACTCTTTCTATAGGATTTGCTGTGAAGATAGGCTGTAGGCCTAAAGCTTCTGGCTGCCATCTTGCCATCTCGCCATCTTGCCTTCGGGAGGGGAGAGCCTGTCTGAAGCCTGAGCCAGTGGAGAGAAAAGCCAAACAGAGACACAGGGCAATAGTGAGTCCCTGGCGACATTCTTTGAGCCTCTGGATCCAGCCAGACCCAAAGCGAGGCTAGTCTCCAGATGTGACCCAAGAAACCCCTTTTTGCTTACATTAGCTGGAGTTGGTTTTCATCACGGGCAACCAGAAACAACTTGTCTACTAGCACAGTCCTGGAAAGAATCGACAGTGATGGATCAAAGAGGGCATTTCTGTGAATTCTCCAAAAGCCTGCGTCCCTAGAGCGACTCTTCCGGTTGTGAGGCTCCCCTTGAATGGTCCTCATTCATACAGGAAATCAAGATCAAGTGAGCTTTTGCCCAATTGTTTTTCTGATCAGCTGGTTCTAGAGGAGTCCAGTTAATGCCGCCCCAATGGACGCGGGCCTTTGCCTGTACCTGTTCCCATCGTGCCAGCAAATGGGCGGTCTTAATTCGAAGAATTCTGGCACTTTGCTGCGTTCTCAAAGATCCTATCTCCTAATTTTCTCTCCTGCATTTTATTTTGTGTCCTGGAGTTCCCAGAACTAGCTTAATACAAAAAATAACTTAGACTTGTTTCATCTTTCTATGCCTTACTCTGACATCCATAAGAGATTTACACAAGCCCACAATGACAATGCTCCATGGTTCCACCTGGAGTGTTTTTATGTTTACAATCTCTAATCTTCTTGATACTTATCTGGGGGTAGCTCTTTTCTTTGAGGTCTTGTGAATTCCTAATCTGAGTTTCTATATTTAGAAATAGGAGAAATACAGATTTTAATACTTCCTAAAGAACCTGGACACACAAGACTGTAAAATTATAACGATTGGGATGAATGTGCAGATCAAGATAAAAATCTTGAGACCAGAAAAAAAAAACATTTTAACCGTTCTGCAAAAACAATTAAATGGACAATAGAAATGGAACCCACAGGCTCTTATGGCCTAAATAGCATCATCACAACGATTTCCCCGTCGCTACCCAATGTGCTGGTTTCTTTTCTCTTACAAATTAGGTCTTAAAATAATTTGTATTAATCAGTGATGGGAATGGAGTGATCCAAAAAGAAACTCACAGAAGAACATCTGTTAATTTTCAAAATCGAGAAAGTCTTCAAAATCCCTGACAGTGCCCCTGCAGGATGTATTACAAAATGCTGAGAAGTGCAAACGACAGTGAATTGCTATTGATGGAGACTGAGCAACCGGCCGGGGAAGGGATGAGCACCCCATGCTGGAGGAAGTGCTGGACCGCAGAGTCCAGGCTTAGCAGGCCCTCTGGAGCAGGCAAGCCTGGCAGGGGGTGGGGGGTGTGGGAGGAGGTGGGGGGGAGGTGGAGGTCAGGAGGAGGTGGGGGTGGGGGGGTAGGGGGGTGGGGAGTGCGACCCCCTCCAGGGTGTGCTTTGAGGGCAACACCGCAAATCTCTCGGCTCCTAAATCCTCTCATCATTTGGCACAACACCCGAAATTCTACTTGTCACCTTTCCCTTTGGATCTTGAAAGGCTTTCAGCCTCAGAGGCCTCTTTGGAGGAGAAGTGTCACAAACCATTGTGAGTTAGGATTAAAAGACATTCAGCCAAGAGTAAAGCCTTGTAGGAGCAGCGTTGATGCTCCATGTCCTGATGGTGGGGAGAGAGGAGGGTTGACCCCTGGGGGGGCGGGCAGGAAAGGATCCCAGGTGGCACTACAGGAGGGAACCCATCTCACGAATCTGCCAAGAGCTGGCCTCAAAGACTAGAAAACATAGTTTTGCCAAAAGTCATAAGGAAAATCCTGCAAAAGTGTTTTGTGCCTTTTCTACAATTTTTAGAGGGGTTTCTTCTGATTTTTCTAAATTTGTCCACAGTCGTCTCTTTAAGTTACTTGGAAACTGTGACATCTGCCTTCAGCAAACATACTTAAACTTCCCCCACATTCACACATTCCTCCAAAATCAAATACATTATCAGATTTAATAAAATTATTCCAGAACTGTGCATGATTTCCTTCAGGCCGCAGCCCATTTATTTAAAGCTAAGTACACAGGGACAGATTGTTATGGTAAAACTGTAGAACAGAGACTGGCTTGTCTACCAAACATAGTTGAATTAAATCTTAGAGAAAACTTTTGATAAAACTTATCTCATTCCTTAAGATTTGCTTGTCTCCATGCAGTCTAACCCAGTGCCTGCACGTGCTATATGCTCAATAAATACTTGTTAAAAATATACTTAGTTTTGATAGTCATGATTAAATGACTCTAATCGAATAGCTAAACTACTTTTCAAATTGGAAGGAAAAAAGGGGATACTTTCTTAATGATTAGGAAAGTTTTCCGTGGCATAAAAACAAAATAAAGTGCAAAGTATCCCCAAATACACACACACACACACACACATACACACACAAGCACACATGCCACATTTAAACCAGAAACTATAGTCTTTTCACTCTCAAACTTGGGCATATTAATTATATCTGAACATTTGAAAAGGCTAGCCTTCTAAGATATTAATCGTGAAAGTATCGTGAAAGTAAACTCAAGATTGGGGCATAAAAAGATCAGAACAGAGTCCTACTTATTTTCCAAACATTGATGATTTTTTAAAAAATGCACTTACCCCATTTCGACTGTTGACCCCAGGAATGAGGGTATGCAGTAGTCAGCAGCTGCCAGGGTATAAGGCGGTCGAGCAGCAGAATCATCCCAGTAAATGTCCTTCTTCATCTTGGGTAAGCTCATGTGCATCTCATCCACAGCCAAAAGAGAGACCTAAAATCATCACTTTACTGTTAGACAAATTTGGATATGAATTGTATAAAGAAAGAGGGGCCCCTTGGGCAGGGAGTGGATGGGATTTGCAGTAGGATAGAACAGTCTGCAAGAGTAAAAATACAAATGTCTATTGTTCATATTTGCTCTAACCAGGGCTGCCACGGAGAGTTGTACATGTTGTGTACTGCACATGAGCGCTTGGCAATGGAGGTGACAGCACTTGGCTATAAAACTGCCCAGACTTGGTTTAGCAACTACTGGCCCGGAGTGGACCTGGCTACATTTTGCCTAGAGGCAGGAGTGACACCTTCTACTTCCTTCTTCAAAGTCCCCGTGTTGTCTAATGTCTGTCCCAAACACAACCTGATCGTCCCAGATCTTACAGGAGTCAGGGATTCTCAATATCCCATTCCGTTGATTCCATAAACACACTTGATATCATTTCTTACGTGCCCTGATTTTTTGTTTGTTTGGGGGAAGCACATCGGCAAGTCTCCACTCCTTGGGCTGTAGAGTGGTCTCCCTTCTTGACCTTGACACGCTGATGCGTGAATAAATGATTAATCTTCTGCAAATCCAATTTTTACAAAGAGCGAGCGGCCTAGCCATTATGCTCCCTTCCTGGTAGACTGAGTGTGATCGTTGGGGGAGGTTGGGGCCATGGCCTCGGGAGCTGTGTGTTGAGAACCTCTGGACTGAGTGTGTGGCCGAACCCGGTATAAACTGGCAATCCTGGCGGCGGGCATGGAGATCCTAGCGGGCAGCTGCCCAAGAAAGGCCTGGAAGTTCCCTTGCCTACCTGACCTGCCACCCACCAGTCTGGGTGGCCTGTCCCTGAGTTCCCTCTCTGCCGGCTCTCCATGTTTGGGGCCAGTTTGTGAACCAACTGGTGAAACGTGTGAGACCGGTTAGGAGCTGGGTAAAACATGAAATTCTTTCCCAGCCTGTGGGGGAAGAGAATGGTGTCAGGAGAGAGTCCTGCCTGAAAGGAAAATTCTCTTATGCTGGTTCCTCATGGAAAACCTCTCTGAGGCAATGCTTTGGAGTCAGGGTCCTAGGGTCTGTTCAGTTCAGTGCAGGGAAATGTGAGATGGGGGCTGGTGTGGCCCATGCTCCCGGTGGCCCGCAGGCCCCTTCAGGACAGGCATCTGGGGACGCCGGCCAGATCACGCCTGGCTGCCCTCCACGCCCCTGCTAGCCTCCCATGGGCGGCCACAGAGAACAGATGACAGACTGAGTGCGAATATCTCCCTGCAGTAAGATGGAAGAGGCTGTGTCGAGCTAATAAAGAAACAAAGAATATGGGCTTGAAATTCTCTTTAAAAGGGGCTACATTTCCCTGCAACCGAGACCCAGGACCTGGGAGGTTCCAGAAGGACGTGAGACAACACGGTGCAAAGCCAAGCGTCTTCCGTTTGCAGCTAAAGCTCTCAGGTGCGTTTGCAGCACAAGCGGTTCGTTATTAAATTATTAATGCTTGTACAGGAGAGAGAAGCTGCTCTAACCTGCAGGTTTCTGTCAATGCACCAGTTGGTTTCAAAATCATCATCGTCTTCTCCAAAAGGGTTGATGAGCTGCTCGGCCACCTGGAGTCGAGGACAGAGAATGAGTCGGTCGTGATGCTCGTGAAGACTGAGTGCGGGCCGGAGGGGGTGAAGGTGGTGCCCTTTGCCACGTTCATAATGCGAGCCCAGAGGGGAGTGGGTCACCCCACGGACACAGATGCTTATCTGCAGGCGAGGCCCTAGGCTCAGGCTCCAGTGTGGCATCTGCCGGGGCCTGCTCTCCCGTGGGTCTGGCATACAGACCCCCTCCAGGGGAAGCCCTGTGCCATTAGAGCCCAGCGAGTGACGATCAGGTTCAAATCGAACCGGTGCGGGCTAAGGGGCACGACAAGGTGCAAGGTGCTGGGCACGTCCAGGCTTCGGGCCTGCGATCTTCGGGAAACCACAAGCACCCAGGGGATGAGCCGAAATGCGACCACGGGGAACGTACGACAGCGAAGAAAGAGTTAAAGCGCGATTAAAGAAAATAATACAAGGCTTTTCCACAATTCCTGGACGTAACCACGAAATGCAGGAGTCGGAGAGCTAGAGAGTCACAAAGCTGGAGTTTGCCTCACTTTGTTCTACGCTAAAGGGTTTGCTATTGTCTGGTGAGTCAGTTTTCCCACTGGGAAAAGCTTAGGTAGCTTCTCTTTTTTTAAATTTAATTTAATTAATTCACTATTTTTTTAGGTAGCTTCTTAGCGCATTTTTTCCACATATTTTCTAATAGTTGATCAGCAGGACACGAGCTTACCACGTTCTGGAATTGGGTAGCCTTGTTGAGAGATTTATATGCCAAATAGGACTCCCCTGTTATTCTCCTTTTGAAATAATCCCTTTGAGGGGCGCCTGGGCTCAGTTGGTTGAGCATCGACTCTTGGTTTTGGCTCAGGTCATGAGATTGGGCCCCACATGGGGCTCTGCGCTCAGCACAGAGTCTGCTTGGGATTCTCTCTCTCCCTCGAAGTCCTTCTGTCCCCACTGCTCACGGTCTCCCTCCCTCTCTCTCTCTCTCTCTCTCAAATAAATAAATCTTTAAAAAAGTAAATAATCCCTTTGATTTTAATTATTTTGTGTGCGAGAGAGAGAGAGAGAGAGAAAGAGAGCAAGATTTTACATAGGGTCTAGATGGGAAAAACAAGTGTACAAAAAAGGGTGCCATCGATTGCTTGAGTTTCTATATTCTCAGGCTTTGTGGTAGAAAGTCTACATATTTAATTTTTAGGATTTAAGTCTAACCACTATCCACTTAGAGCAGTTGCTCTCAACCTTGGATGAAGAACCAAATCACCTGGGGAGCTTTAAAAGCATGCGGTCCCTCCCTCAGAGATTCTGTTTTAGTGGGTGAAGCTCCAGGAGGCTTGAGTGCGTGGCTGGAGTTGAGGAGCACCCCCGTGGAGAGGTGCATCTCCCTTAGTCTAAGGGACAAACCTGGGCAGACCCTGAGTCCCGGGCCAGGCAGCCTCACAGCTTGTCCAAGTCCAAGCCCTTCACTGTAACGTCCAGGGCCTAGCCACCCTTTCTTGCCTGGGGTTTTTCCTTAAATGGGCCACTGGATAGGCCCTAAAAATATTTTTGTGATATCCAGGATTTCACTTTGATGGGGTCAGTCCTGCGTATAGGATTAGAGTCTACACTTACCTCCCCAAGTGATACGTTTCTGGATGGACTCTCTGAAAAAATATCCTTCACTTTCTTGGACGCTCTCATTTCCAGCAAATAACTAATATACTGTTTATAATATTAAGATGGTTCTTTTACACTTTGAAAAAAAATTTGTAAATATTAGAATGGGCAAGATAGAATAGTTGCTTGGAAAGTGAGAGATAATCCGCTGGGTGGGAAAATACTCTTCTTTTAGGGTCGCCTATCTCTTAAAGGAGCTAAGATTGTATTTTCATATTTTGCCTTTCAAAATATTTTATAAAGAAAAATAATGTTAATATTTTAGAGCTCAACTCAGGGGACAAGACCATGAATGACCAGAAATATTGAGCATTTGGCCAGCGTGGTGATTTTCTGTTTATAAGGCTAGAGTCTAGTTTTTTTTCCTCTAATGGGAGATGAGAGCTATTAGTCTCTCTTGCTATTTCTCTGTCTTAAGTGGGTAAAAATAATCGAGAATCACCGTCACCCGGCTGCCAATGTCTTTGCCATTTATAAAGGATGTCCCTTAAAAGCTTCTTGAAAGGCCAACATGTTTACTTTTCTTGGTTAAGAGTCAAACTGATGAAAGTCAAGACAATGGTGGGGAGAATTTTGCCACAGCCTGGGAGGCCGCCCCAGAGCACAGCACCATGTGGCTGGCCGGAAGGTCAAACGTTTGAAAATTGGATTTTTTTCAAGTCATCCTCAAACTGTCATTAGATTTTGATTACCTTCATGGAGCCCTTGTCTTGGCGTGTGTGCACTTCTCTTTAGGAAGTTCACAGAAGCGATGGAGGACTCAGGTTTTGGGGTACCCAGGGAGGGGTGGGGGGCACCCGGAGATGCTGGGGACCTGTCCTTTTTGTGCTCTGACCTGTTTTTCATTTCCCGGCAAACCAAATGTCGTCAGAAATCCTGGTGTTTCTGGTTTTGATTCTGATGAATCATCTTCGGAGTCTCAGTTCTGGTTTTGAAAATGGGTTGCATTTAATGTGACACAGCTGGTGGGATTTCAGAGACTCGTAGCTAACTACAGAGTTAAACAGAACCAAGATAATAATATAATACGGGGCACCTGGGGCGGGGGGCTCAGTCGGGTGAGCGGAGGCCTCAGGCTCAGGTCAGGATCCCAGGGTCCCAGGATCGAACCCCAAGTTGGGCTCCCTGCTCAACGGGACGTCTGCCTCGGCCGCCCCCCAACCCCCCAGCTTGTGATCTCTGTCTCTCCCTGTCTCTCTCTCAAATAAATAAATAAAATCTTGAAAAAACAATAATATAATACTAATGCTTAAGTCTAATATACAAGGCTTATTTTTTTTTTTTTAAGATTTTATATATTTGAGAGACAGAGCAGGGACCTGATGCAGGGCTCGATCCCAGGACCCCGGGATCATGACCTGAGCCGAAGGCGGCTGCTTCACCGACTGAGCCTCCTCAGGTGCCCCCCAAGGCATCTTAGTCTCTCCCTTTTACTCTGCCTCGTTGCCTATTGTGGCATAAAATATCAAGGCAGTTACAGTTATTACTTTAATTACATTATTTTAATCCTCACGCAAGCACACAAGGACTTAAAACATCAGTGGCCATAAAAGTGTGTTCTTGCAATCTCTTGGCTTCGTGCTGCAACACGGCGCTCACCACGGCTCTTGAATCCCTAGTTTAACAGTAATGACCTCCCTGGGCGCTTAACTGTTACCTCTACCTGTGACCAGCTCATGCAGAGTGACTCGGCCAAGGCCCGTCGCTGAACGTAGAGCCTGATGGAGGTTGCGGACCGGGCCTCGGGCACCAAGACCATGGCCTACCTACCTTGAGCCATCCTGCGTAGAAGAAGAACTGTAGGAGGGTGAAGATTGGAATGTAAAGATCCAAGTCGTGCCCCGCGTAGCCTTTGGTGGGATCCAGAAACTGGCGTCCGATCAAGCAGGCGAAAAAGAACGTGTAGACGGCCAGCGTGACAACCTGCAGTGGAGACAAGCCCGAGTGAGGGCCCGGCACCCGGGCACCCGGGTGCGCAGGTAGCAAGGAGAACCGTGTGCAAGGTGTGTGATACCTGGGTGTAAACCAGCGGAATCCCGACCCAGTCGTAGCCAAATAAAAGGCTGCACCAAGAGCGGTATTTGTTCATCTCCTACGCCAGAAACAGATAAAACACGGTTTACTAAAATGATGGGGGTGCCAATGAATTCTTCCTGGGGTTCGTCACCGTGTCTTCTATGAATTTGTCTGTGGAGAGGCGGAGACGGACTCTGGAAGGCTGGTAGTCGGTTCTGAAGGCGAGTCCAGGGGCAAAATTTGGAAAATGACAATCAGCATCTTCAGCAACGCAAAAAAGGTTGACGACGGTTGGACATTTTTAAAAATATTAAAGTGAATCTGGACTTTATGGAACTATCCCCTACTCTGCTAAAGCCACGATTTCCAACGTGTATACTGGCCCCAGGTGGTGATGGGAAGGCTCGGGTTAATAGGTTAAATAAGTCATTTCTACCCATTTTGGTACATTTCTGTGGAGAGCCCACTTTTGTTTGTTTCTCTACCTCTTTGGAAAACACGCTTGCTATAGATTTTAGAAAAAAAAAGTTTTACATCCTGCACCCACCCCCTAAAATGAGGACTTACTATTATTCTTGGGACAACCCTTATATTGATAGGAAATTTCTCTGTTGGGAGCAGAAAGGACTCGAACCCATTGATTCTTCCTTTGTCGCGCCTAAGTTACTACGCAAGACTGGGCAAGAGAGTTCACGTTAGATCGGGTGTTGTTTTTCTGTGATTCGCTCCCTTGGCCTAGTTCAGGCAGGAGGTTGTCATGTATCAAACGTTTGAAAACTGGATTTTTTTCAAGTCCTCCTCGATGACTTGAAAGATATGACGTATCTTTCCGGCCCTTCCATAAATGTGTTTCTCAGATGAACTCAGGGGTTATTTCGTTTAATGAAACCATAATCTTGTTTCCTGGCGTACCTGACAAGTTGGCTTAACCTCAGGAAATTCCAGATGGGGAAAGCTGACCGGGCGGGTTTATCTTTACTCCAGATTTTATTCCAGGACCTGAGAGCCAAGGATGGTGACTAGGCCGCGTGGGCACCAGATCGTTCCGAACTCCTGGCAGCTCCTGCTAATCAGTGAAGGGACACTTTCCTACAGAGCCTCGTACGAGGCTGATTCCGTTTGGCCAGAGGTCCTACGCAACCACTACCGGTCCACCTGACTTCAAACCTGTGCATCATCCCTGTTCCGCACGTTGAGGGTTCTGATACTAGCCCGGTCTTCCCGGTTCCTTTGGAACCAGAAATGGACGAAGCAGACTTGTCCTGTCTGACCTGTGACGTCCAGACCCCTGTCGGTGTCTGACTGGCATCTTATACCGATGGCTTGCGACATACTCACAGTCATCAACGATTGCAGATCAACGCTGTCTCTGATTCTACCCTCCTTCCGGGCTTTAGCTGCAAGATTTCCAAACCAGATGAATGGGACCCAATATTTCAGGTGAGGAGATTTGAGATGGTCAAATAATTTTCTTTCATCAGCTGTCATAAACCCTTGAGCACAAAATAAGAGTAGCGCAATTATGCAGAATGAGTTTAGCACTGATGCCATGCATATTTTCAGGGTTGCTACATGAGCATACAGTGGGGGTCAATTAAAAATAGATAAAATGAAGGTTGTTGCCCTCAAGTAGCTTATACTTGTTTTTTTCTAATAATAAATTTATTTTTTATTAAGTAGCTTATACTCGTATTAGAGATAAGGAACGTGTGTGGGGGTGCACACGCAAGTTAGGTAACAATAATACATAAGGCAAGGCCTGTTGGCAATCCCTCATAGGGTGGCCAGGAGGAAGTAAGCTGACATTAAATGGGGACTAGAACATCTGGGGAGGGACACCCAGGGGCCCCAGTGGGTGGGCATCCGCCTTTGGCTCAGATCATGATCCTGGGGTCCCGGGATCGAGTCCCACATCGTGCTCCCTGCATGGAGCCTGCTTCTCCCTCTGCCTGTGTCTCTGCCTCTCTCTCTCTGGGTCTCTCATGAATAAATAAATAAATAATCTTAAAAAAAAAAACATCTGGGGAAGGTTTCCTTTTTAGGTTCGGGTTGATTCATCTAAAATTGAGAGAAAGAGGGATCCCTGGATGGCGCAGCGGTTTGGCGCCTGCCTTTGGCCCAGGGCGCGATCCCGGAGACCCGGGATCGAATCCCGCGTCGGGCTCCCGTTGCATGGAGCCTGCTTCTCCCTCTGCCTGTGTCTCTGCCTCTCTCTCTCTGTGACTATCATAAATAAATAAAAATTAAAAAAAAATAAAATTGAGAGAAAGAATACTTAGAAATATTAGGATTCAAAGAATAAAAGGTGTCACCTTTGCATTTAGTGCAAACTCTAATAAGTTTGCACTAAATGCAAAGCACTGAGTGTAGCGCGGAAAGCACGGATCACGTACTTCTCCCAACCCTCACTCCCTTCTGGGTCCTGGCTCGGCGGGTCCCGTGGAGCCTCCCGTATGCTCTCTCCTCCTTCCCTGGGGGTTTCTCCCTTTCAAAGCTCCACCAACAGGGCCCCTGTCACCTCACATCATAGCGATGTCCTACATAAAGGTTTCTCCTGCCAAGAGCATCTGGAAGGGCGAAGCGCATGCAAAGGGCACGGTGCCCGCAGCAAGTCGTGGCAGGATGAGCGTTACAATCCGTGTGTGTGTGTGTGTGTGTGTGTGTGTGTGTGTGTGGTGCATATGACCTGGCTTGTCTGAGCCTGCGGTGACCTCCGCGGTCGCGGGTGTCCCAGGTGGGAAAAAGAGAGATGATGACCTCTGCCTCCCCAGGATGCCGCGGACCAGGCCCAGTGGGGACCCCCACTCAGCACAGACTCAGCCCTTGGTGGACCCCCCACTACCACGTTAACTGCTCATCCCACCTCCCAAGCTGCACGCCACGGCAGAGAAGAGATGGGAACCGGGGGGCAGGAGAAAGAGGGCAGCAGGTTCATTTAATTGACATTTACTGAGCATCTACTATGTGCCAGGGCTTGTTCACAAAAATACGTACTTTTAGAAAATTAAGTTTTTTTTGGGGGGGGAAGGGTCAGAGGGACAGAGAGAGGGTCTCAAGCAGACTCCCCAGGTGGGGACCCCCTACCCTGAGGTCACGACCTGAGCCAAGATCAGGGGCTGATACTTAACCCATTGAGCCCCTCAGGAGCCCCTCGAGTATGTACTTTAAACCTTTGCGGTTTACACTGGACTTTTTATTTTTTATTTATTTATTTATTTATTTATTTATTTATTTATTTATTTATTTATTTATTTATTTTTTAAAGATTTTTTTATTTATTCATGAGAGACATGCAGAGAGAGAGAGAAGCAGGCTCCATGCAGGAAGCCCGACGCGGGACTCCATCCCAGGTCTCCAAGATCACGCCCCAGACTGAAGGTGGCGCCAAACCGCTGAGCCACCCGGGCTGCCCCTATTTTATTTTTTTTAAGTTTGATTGAATCATTCAAATGGTATAGAAATCCAAAAGAATATTAATAAGAAAAGTCAGTCTCATTTTCCCAGCCACACGTTTTCCTCCCTGAAGGAATCACTGAGACCAGTTTCCTGCCTATCTTTCCGGGGGAAACATCACACGGGCTTAAGTTTTAGGAGCACAAGTGACTTTATACCACATACGGATCTGACATTGTTCCTATTTTCTGGTTGTATCTTGGAGACCCTTTTTTTGTTAATACACAGAGAGCAGCACCATTGTTCCCAATGCCTGCCTCTTAGTTAATCATGTACAATTTTTTATGTACATAGTCCTCTTTTGAATAGACATTTGTTTTTAATTTTTTTGCTGTTAAAAATAACGATGCCATGATGACCCTTGTACCTATTCCTTTGACCGTTTCGGTGGACTTTGCAATATTAATTATGATTTAATACCTGTAATTTAATACATGTTTTCTGAACTAAAGCTTTTTTTTTTTTTCAAAAACAGGTTAGACGTTAATTTTGAATTAACTTGTGAGTATTGGGAATTTGATTATTATGATGTTCTAACACATTCATTTTTATTTGTTTTTTTAAAGATTTTGTTGGTTTAAGAGAAACAGAGATTGTGAGAGAAAGAGAGAGAGAGAGAGAGAGAGAGAGAGCACCAGAAGAGGGAAGGAGGAGGGTCAGAGGTGGAGAAACAGACTCCCCACTGAGTGGGGAGCCGGGCTGGGGGCTGGATCCTGTAACCCTGGGATCACGGCCTGAGCCAAAGGCAAACGCTTAACCGACTGAGCCACCCAGGGGCCCCAATTCTAACACATTCCGATGAAAATCAACTTGTGACCCGATGTCACACAGTTTATATCCTTAACCACCTGCCATCAGTTTCCGGATCTAATTATTCTGCTTTAAGTATCCCCCCTTCTCGCCACGTAGACTGAGCTTAATTTCACAGGCGCTACCATAACCGAAACGGAGTTACAGGAGGAGTGAGACGAGCTCATTTTGAGAGTCACTGATTCATGGAGCTTTGGGGATCCTAGATCTAGGCCAGTGTTTTTGAGAACAAGGTCCCCCGTATGGGTCCCTGAGTCTCGTGTGACCCCCATGACACGGGGAGAGGGCTAGGCGCCACCCTCACCTACTGAACCGGACCCAGTGGGGCTGGGGTTCTCAGCCGAGGCCTGCACCTCAGCGTCTCCTGTGGGTGCTTTTCGAAAATACCTTGGCCTCGTCCCCAGAGATTCTGATTCAGTGGGTCTGGAGTGAGTCCGGGGGTCAGCAGTCGTTGGACTCGTCCTGAGTGATCCAGTGGAGTTGGGCCAGGCAGTGACACGTGTGCCACGCTCTGCAGGCAATTCGGACACACGGCAAGGTTTGAGAATCACTGCCCGCCCCAGGAAGGCTCTCTATTCAGTATGTGAAGCACACAGAGTATCAACTACAAAACCACTATTTACCATTTTAGATAATGCTCAGGTTATTTATATCAGCCTCGCAGGGTCCTGCACGGCCGGGGAGTTGGGCTTCTCTGGTTGGCAAGAACAACAACGAACCCCGATCCTCTCTTCTCGTTTCTCAGTGCATCTCAAAGTGGTTGCATGATCCAGATTATCTGCTTTATTTCTTTTTCTCTCTTTCTTTTTCAAGACTTACAGAGCACGATGAGGCCTCTTACAAGAAGTTAATAGACCTGACCTGGGACACCTGGGTGGCTTGGTGGTTAAGTACCTGCCTTTGGCTCAGGGCGTGATCCTGGGGTCCCAGGATCGAGTCCCACATCGGGCTCCCTGCGTGGAGCCTGCTTCTCCCTCTGCCTGTGTCTCTGCCTCTCTCTCTGTGTGTCTCTCATGAATAAATAAATAAGATTAAAAAAAATTTAAAAAAAAAAAAACAACCCTCTCGTTTTTTTTTTTTTTTTAAAAAAAGACCTGACCTGTTTTGGTTCTGTACTTAAAGATTCATGGCAGTGGTTCAACCTTTACCTGGAGGCCTATTTTCAGACATTTCATATCAATTGGTTGGCGGTTATATTTTTGGGATTTATACCGCAGTTTCCAAAAATTACCCCATTTCTATACTGGCTGCAATCTCTGTCCTTTAACCAAAGAATAACTTTACCTCTGGTTATTTTTTATTCAGGAGGAGGGATCATATTGTGCTGGCAAGCTCTTTTCTTGGCTTCTTAGTAGAACGCAAATATGCAGACTGAGGGGTTACCCAGGGCGTGCACTAAAGCCAGGGTCAGCGCTTTCCCAGGTAGCACACCCACCACTTGGAAGGGGACGTGTGGAGCAAGGAAAGCTGGTGATTTTTAGCCTGGAGGTGTGAGTACTTTGCTAGGCTCTGCGAAGGACACATGACAAACCGGACTTTGATGTGTCCTCCAAGAGTGCACGGACATGGTGATTTTTGCTGTGACCCCGCCCCCCCCCCCCCCCCGCAATGTGTGTGTGTGGGTCACACACATTATCTGAACTAACCCTGTCTTTGGAGATCAAGTCATTGGTCAACTACAAGGAAACCTATAGATGGTTGGTTAAATCAGTTGCCATGGAACGCCGTGCTTGTTTGTTATGGAATGGAATGGAATGGAATGGAATGGAATGGAATGGAATGGAATGGAATGCTCTCCTTATCAGTACTTGAGGCCACTGTAACCAGAGGGATGATCTTCAGAACAGGGTCATTATCCTCATCTCTAGGACTAGGTGAGCCCCCGGCACGGATTCGCCACAGTTTGGTGGCACCGTCAGGTGGCGGGTCCTCACACAACCCTGGGACCTTGACACGACGGCCTTGAAGCCATGCTCCCTTGGGCCCTACCCACACCCCAGACCTTGCTATTTGAGCCTGCTGTTACATCTGCCTAGAGCTTCCCTTGCTCTCCGAGTTTGGCCCCGCTCAGCAATTTTCATCCTGCTTATCCCAAGAAACCCCCTTAATATTTCAAATCAGAGTAAAACACGCACACGCGTGCGCACACACACACACACACACACACACACACGTTTTTACTTGCGACTTGCATTGTGATTGGATGGAGCAGGTCCTGCTGCGTTAAGGC